AAGGGCTACCAGGGATTTTGAAATTTTGAGAGCCCTGATCAGCATCTCAATCAGCATTGTCGGAGCAGTTTTCCAGCTGTAACTAGAGACCCTCTGCTTATAAAGGAGGAAAAGACAAAAAAAAAAAAGCCATTGAACAGTAATTCTGCATCTCTCATGTTATGAGTAGGAAACAGACTGAAAGGCAACATCTGCCTGGACTAATCCTACTCGGTGATGTCTAAAACATCCTTCTGCAACACCCAAATGAGCCTGAAGACTTAATAGAGTCTTTGGCATTTTATGACGTTGATCAATAGTTATTTTCCAGGTGGGTGAATTACAGAGCTGCAGTGAAAGGCCACACACACACACACACACACACACCAGGTCCAGAGAGACATCAGTAAGACATACAGCACTATCACAAGCCAAACAAACACCCAGTTTTAAATCAGGTTTGTTTAGACCAATGAAAGAGAAAATAGAACTAAATGTTAAAGTCAATCCTATTTCCCCACCAAATTGAGCTGTTCACCAAAACGTCTAGCCACATAGGGTTTACATCTAAAGTTTGAAACTCAACGTTACTTTAAAAAAAAAAAAAAAAGAGTTAAATAAACACTGAGACATGAAGCAGAGTACTCAGCTGTGTGCCAACATGTAATCCTTACTCAGAGATGCTGATGCATGTTTTTTAACTTCGCAGTAATGAGATGAGACTAAACTATCATTTAACCCCCAGTCTTACACCCAGTCAACACCAAAGTAGCAACAGTGACAACAGTTCACAACAATTGTGGAAAACTAAAACAGACTTGCATTTGTGGGCTAAAAAGAAAGATAAACGCACTGTTACAGTGATGGATGATTAGATAAGCCCCTTCCCCCACCACCTTGATGGAACCAGTCCACAACTTTGCTCTTAACACTTCTTTTTTTCTTAAATTTTATCATTAACAAACAGCAAATATGGAAAATAATGAATACAAAAATAAACAGTGCAAGTATTGTCCCATCAAATCCACAGAAGAGAGGACTTTATAAACCGCTATCTCAGCGTATCTAAGGAAGTCCCACATAAACAAGGCAAAGCCAAACCCAAGTGACGTGATCGGAGAAGAAGCGCAAACGTGTGTGTGGTTATTTTTCTGCAGTCAGCAAAGGCCTACGCATGATTCAATCAAGCCAAACGCAGCGAGTCATCACATGTAACAGGGCCGCATCTTGCAAAGTAAAAATACACAGCCGTGCTGCTGCTTTAAGAGTCATTAGAAAGACAACAGCTAACATCTGTGTTCAGTACACACCTTTGGCAATAAGTAATGATACTTTTTTTTATTATTGATCATCACATCCCAATGGGTTAGAATAATTTACCAATACTCTGCAATAAAACCATTCCCTGAACACGTACTAGCATCCAGCTACATCTTCAGCAGATGATTACTTCCACCTGCACTGTGGAAGTGAAAGTAAAAACTGTGACATCACATCAGGTTTTCCCCCTCCATCCAAATACCTACTTCTCCTTCAAAAAGGGGCAGCCCCTGGATAACCACGCAATTTCCAGCTCAACATCTAAAGCTCGAGACTGGACACGGCATCCACACCTGGCCTGAATTTTATCAGAATAAAACAATTCTCATTACAACAACTGAGTACAATGCTAAATTTGTGTCCACACCAATTGGCAACACCCGGGCTTAAAAATGAAGCCAATGAAGATGTGCCAAAAACAGCAGTTCCTCTAGTGGCCACTTAAGGATGGCTCTAAAAGCACAATATGGCTTTAAAAGCACAATGTCTCAATACTTACAGTCAGGCACCAAAACAACTCTATTAATACTCCTTTCATAAAGACTGTACCATTTAAATAAATAAAATAAATAGGGGTTAATGGGTGTGACCACTTTGACAGTTTTCCCAAAACACCATCTTTCAGGCCTCAGCGCTGCTAAATCTAGTCACTGAATTGGGAGTATATCTCTAGTCCATAATGGACTCTCTCCAGTATTTTATTTCCATGTTACTTGGCTACTACCAGTGTGTGAATGTGTGCGTGAATGGGTGGATGACTGGATGTGTAAAGCGCTTTGGGGTCCTTAGGGACTAGTAAAGCGCTATATAAATACAGGCCATTTACCATTTACTACAGAGATCTGTATCTGTGCATGGCACTTGTGCAGTCAAAGCACGGAGCTCGTCAATCCTGCTTAAACAGTGAAAATGTATGTAGTCTGTGGTTCAGACGTGCAGCTTCACCTTTATGCTGTAAACAGGCATCTAAAACAACAGGGGTGTCTGAGTGTAGCCTCTTTCACACGGGATACTTAAAACAGATGAGATTAAATTCATTAATTAAGCCTAATATTCTGCAGTCATAAGCACTGTTTAAGCTTGAAGCCAGTGGCGAGATCACAAGTATCCAATAATCTATTAAAAAAGACAGTGAGTTGATGAGATTTGTGCGATTGCTTCTACGCACACAGGATTGCCACTATGATGAGACATGCCCAATCATGACATAATCCTCAGAGTGCCAGCCAGATGCAACAGACTTGTCATGACTCAACTGCAGCCTTGCAGCGGGGGGAGGGGGGATAGAAAAATGATGATCTCAACCGAGCTCTGCTCACAGCTCCGGAGGTCATCCTGATGAAGACTCACTCACTCATTGCAATGTGTTGTGACTTCAAAGAAACTTCACCCATTTCAAAATTCAGCCCATAATATTTCTGCGACACCCGCGCCTACAGTCCCCGTCTCCCTCAGCACAACAAAACAAACATGTTTAAGCAGAGTGTGACCCGCAGCAGCCGGCCGTTCGACGAACGCAGCGACAGAACGGACACGCTGTTCCTCAGAAGAGCACACACAAACAAGCATAATCTAAGTAGGTCAGTAGACTAAGAAGAAGAGGTGTGTCTGTTTCTGCCCAACCGTGGACGACGATAAAGACGTCTAACGATGCAGAGCAGGGACTTGAACAAGGTGAAGAAA